CCTTGGTAATTTAAAAACACAGCAAAAACTGATGAGTTTGTGATGAATCGCCAAGACAGTGAAACCAGAATGGCCCAGGGAGGGGTGGATGGCCCAGGTATTCCCCTAGTCCCACTGCTGACCATCTTTCAACACCATTGCTAAATCTATGCTGGGACCCCAGACCTGTACTTTAGCTTCAACGTGGACTGACGAACGTGTGCAAACAATTCAATTGAGTGAACGCCAACGCGCCTTCGGTGCGCCTAAACACATTTTTTTAGTGATAAATAGACACAAAACCGTAATTAATAGGTTAAAGGAGAATTTAGATTGGTTTAATCTAAAAGTTTCTTTAAGAAAAAGGAGTTTACCTCACTCGAATGCATCACTATCTCACTCTAACCCTCCAGAAAATGGGACGGTCAAAACCGAGCAGAACTGTGCAACATAGGGCACCTTTTCGAGCTCCGTGGCAATTGCGAGAAATTCGATCTAACGTTTTTCCAAAAACAACTCACACGCCCAAAATGAAAGGGTATAGTTACCACATTTGTTGATTTGTAAAGTATTAATGGTCTGCACAGACGGTGTGTGGACTGCTTTTGATCGACGTACACGTGACAAACTATAACTGTGCGGTCGATCGTGCACCTTCGGTCGCACAATGACTTTGGTGACTTCACTGTACGATAAAGTGTTGTTAATTCATGGGGCCCTATGGAGGGACATAAATATTCACGACTAAATTTGAATATTTTTGCGATGTCTTGAATTTTTCGCGACTAGTCGTGAATAATTTTGCGACGTCATGAAATTTTCACGACTAGTCGTGAAAATTTTTGCGACGTTGTGAATATTTTCACAAGCTCGTGCATTTGTCAACACTAATCGCTAATATTTTTCCAGTAGCTTGGAATGTAATTGGCGCTTTTACAAGACGGCGGGAAGTTGCACTCTGCAGCAAATACATGATGTAGGACCACTGGTCCAAGAAACGTACTCTGTCGTTGATCCATTCTCTATGGTCGTTTGTAATAAGTCGCTTATCATGTCAGACGCTTGAAGCTAACACAAGCCCAGTTCGGCTCCCAGTTGAATGATGATGACTTTTACTCTGGAAACTAAACGACGTTGTGTGTTGCTGGGGCAAAAATCAACCCCATCAAGTCACTGGAGACATAATTCGCCACAAACTTTGCGAATGGTCGTGAATTATAGTTGCAAATAAAATGTACGACGTTCCAAAAATATTCTTGACTAAACCTGAATAAATTCACGACGTGAATATTCACAATTAGTCGGAAGTAAATTTATGACGTTCAAAAAATATTCACGACTAGTCGTGAATATTTACGTCCTTTCAGGGCCACCCATGTTATGCTATTCGACAAATTCCCAGCGCAAATTATTGAAGAAGGAGACACAAACGTGAAGGTTAAGTTGCCGACCACAAACACTACTCGAAGCCGTGGAAATGTGCACTTTTGGAGGGCCATAATTGATCTGCAGATAGACCTATCCAGCCCCACGCCAAGGACGGGTCGGCGGTATAGCTACCTTCACCGGTCCCTTCGTGGGTTGGTTACTCGGTAGGGGTCGCCGGACCGTCGTGTCCCCAACTCAAGCTATTTGTTTTAGTCTACCACGTTCGCTGTCTCTTCGATCACTGTATCAGCCATGCCTTCTCAACGTAGTTGCCCTACTGGGCTAGGTACTGATCCGTCCAATCCGCCTTTTAGGGGGCAACCAAGGTCATCCCTTCAAAGCAATGACGGTTCCTTCTCTTACATGGGGTAGACCTATAACATGTGGAGCCCGGGGCCGTAGAATCTAAGCCTCCCGCTAGCGGTTGGGCCTTCCTCCTCTTCCATGGGTCAATGCCTGTTCCTGCATTCTACATCCCCGCCCCTTCACGGGAGTGTTCTGCATTTTTCGGCCGTCCGCAGGTGTCGCTCAACATCAACAGAATTTGAATCCCCCCGCCGTTTCTACCTCAAACACCACCACATCTGGGAACTTAAACGGCCTTAGTGGGGTTGATGAGAGTGAGGCTATGGCCAATACATCTGTCTGGTTTTACATCTGCGTCATTGCTATCTCAGAGTGCATGGGGCAGTGTGAAATTTCGTAATCCCCACATGAAAGAGCTTGCTGTGTGCCTTTTTTGGATACAGTGATCTCATGACCAACAAGTTGCCGAATGATGAATTCAAAGAGGGGTTGAGTGCCAGGGGAGCAAGAAATGTTTCTCTCTTCCCCGAGCTACCGGATGGTCTGTAGAGAGAGAGTTCAAGGCAACTCTTCTCTTGTGAGTATCGACAATAGAATTAAAGTTTCTCATAGCCAGTTGCTTTAGGCATCCCTGCCTTTTGTACGTACATGTACATAATTATTTTTATGACATCGTAGCTGACCCCCAGTGTCTCGCCGAGGTCCCCTGGGACGTGATCATGGATCACCCAGCCACAGGTCTTTTTAGGCTCAGCCAGTCAGTCATTTTACACTTTTGATGCAATAGTTGATAAAAGGTTTTACACTCTGAAGAATTCCCCTTCGTTAGGCGAGCTCTTTGGAGATTCACTCAAAAAAGAACACGGTGAACATAGAGAAGGCAAGTAACTCCATAGCTAAACCCACGGGTTCTAGCGTTTCATGGAGCTATCAAACACAAGGAGTCAGCACATACAGAGATCAAAAGGGTCAATGATGGCCACCGCAAGCCCTGCACGTGCTGCAAAGACAAAACAAATTCCGCGCCGCTTGCGGGCTACAAGGAATGCTCGGGTTTGCATTTGCAAAGGATCGTGGGTACCAGGCATGCGTGTCTGTAACACGTCGGCATGTTCAACATGGCCACCTTGAGACGGAAACCATCGTCATCGGAGACTTAAATTTCGATAATTTCAGTGATTGTTCTGATATTCCAATGACAATGAAAGTCTGGTTACGTCTTTACTTTTACGTCCACAGCTGTCTCGGCATAGAACCTCACCATGTTGTCAAATGCATTCCTGCAGCATGTTTCCACCTCCTTTTGACCGTAGGAACCATTTGGATTGCGACTTATGACATAAATATCACAGTTCATATTTAGGGTATTTGTTCTCTACCGACTTTTGCCAAATAACCACAGCTGATTAGGAATTGTCGAGCGCATCTGCAGGGATCACTCGCTGACTCCTGAGGACTACTGAAGAGAACTGTGCATCCTCTCCGTGCATCTTTTCCACGATTTATTTACTCCAGTATGCCGGAGCGAAACACGGCGAGTGTGTGGATTACCAGCTACCTGGCGGTGGCGATCACTGTGTACAAAGAATGTCTAGGGTCTTCAACACTGGGGCCAGTAACCACGCCTTGCCTATGGAGCCGACCGGAGCAGCTAATCGGAATACGGTCTGTGGGAACTTCGTTCTTACTCCTCGTGTTTAATAGCTCTATGGTTGCATTCACAAGGAAAAACAATCCAGCCCATATAAGGGTGCTGCAAGGTCCGCTAGGTTTCGGCTCCCTTCCCACCGCACTGGGCCGTGGAGACAGGCTTCCCGTTTAAACAGAATTTGGAGTTTCCGTTTAAACCTTTTTCAGATGGCTGTTTTTATTACTCGGGTTCAATCCGTTCAGAAAGGTATTATTTTTTAACAATAGGTGCAGAAAACGCTTTGTAAGGGTGTTATCTCAATTGAACCTCCAGTGCAAGGGCAGTTTTCATCTTCACTTTTTACGGTACCCAAGAAGTCAGGGGATCTCTGTCTATTCATAGGCCTAAATCTTTGTCTTCTGAACAAGTTCATCACCTATCACCACTTCAAGATGAAATACATCACTCAAATGAAGGATCTGTTGTCACCCATGGACAAGATGACGTCAATAGATCTAAAGGACGCTCATTTCACGGTTCCCATCAATGTAGCCCACAGCAAGTTTCTTCATGTTCACGTTTCTCGCGGCGGGGTGTCATCTGTCAGTTTTCGTGCCTCCTTTTGGTCTATACTGTGCTCCACTAGTTTCCACCCAAATCCTGAAGCCAGTAGCGGCAACTTTGCGAGAAGGGACGTCAGATGCGAGTTTTACCTGGACGACGTTTTGAATCCTGGATGCATCGTGCCACTTTTGGTGTTTGGACAACACACATCTGGCAGTAAGTGTACTTCAAATCGGGGTTTAGTGTTGAACAAGGCCAAGTCACAGCTAATCCCGTCTCAGAATATTCCATTTCTGGGGTTCCTGATGGCAGATTAGACAGAGATGCCAGGAAAACATACACAAACTTACTCGTCAACGTCAAGATATGTTGAGAATGAAAGGTGCGACCGTTCGCAAACTGTCGAGGTTCTTCAAATATTAGACAGAATTATGTCTTCTAGGGCAATGCCCTTCCTCCTCTTGTTCTAATTTCCAAGCGTCTTCAAAAAATTCACGAGGTAAAAGCAACCGTGGTCCTCGTTGCCCCCGTTTGGTCTACCCAAGCGTGGCATCCAAAGCTTCTAAGTATAGGCATCACTAAGCTTCTTACCCAGGAGAAAGGATATTCATGCAGCACAGTCATCGGAAATTCATCCACTGTACCCAAGCAGTTTATTATACATGCACTGTACACATGTCAAACATATTAAATTTTTGTAATTATAGTTACGCCCCTGCCTCATTGGCTTTGTTGGTTTTAGTAATTTGAGACTCTGATCATAACAAAGGTTTTCTTTTCAACTTTGTTGGCGTGTATCTCAGTTAACCTGCTATGGCGTTACCACGGGGGAGTACCACCCAATTCTTCAGTTACTCGATGCGATGGTTCCCAGACTACCACGTTTAAATATGTTTGTGCAAGTTTGAGCATTTTCAATTACGCCGGACCTCTGACGCACAATAACCACGGTCCATTGCCGAAGGATAATAAATCCTGCATGAGGTGAGGAAAAAGGAGCAATTTGAAAGCTGAGGTAATAACGTTCTTCGCCATAGGTACTCTGGCAACGAGTAGCATCGATCAAGAGCCATTATGAACCCTTCATATTCGAACAATTGAAACTGTGGGCAGAAGTGGCTATAACGACGTCGCTGGCACTGTCGCCATTCGCCTTGGACGATGACAGCGCGCACTTCTTCAGCATTGTTAGCTGCCAGGATGGCGTGGCCCACAATTTCCAGTGCAGTCGGTGCCTTGCTCTTTGTCTATGCTTTACTAGTAGGGTTCGCGGCTTGGGCAGGGGCCGCCCTGACGCCTTGGTGCAGTGTGGTAGACACCGCCCTGGTGGGTTGGAATGTCTCCTCGATCCATACCAGGACGCATAAGCTGTGCCATGTTGCTTGCCTGGAATCAGCCAATTGCTCTTCGGCCAACTACTGGTGGCAGAGCAAAGTCTGCGAGTTGAACACCTTGTCGCACCTGAGCGTGTCCGAAAGTCACCTGGTCAAGGCGTCGGGGTCCATCTATACCTTCACAGAACAGGTAACATGTTGTTTTCTTGATCACCTTAAAAATGAGTCCATGATTATTTATCTTCTATCTTTTATAAAAAAAGAGAGATAACTTTAATTTGATTTTACCCGCCAGACATCCCCGAGCTTTGGTACGTTTTTTAGAGTGGTATGTTGCGCATGTTTTAAACATTTGAAAGAAATGTGCACATATTGCTCTCCCTATACGGGCAATTTTCAATTCAGGCTGCCTTCAAATCATATGCTTTGTTAAACCACCCAATAAAAACAAACGGGCTTTTACTTAAGTAAGGTAGTGTGAAATAAAGATGAAAAAAATAATTGTCTGGCCTTCTCCGGTGTTCAAACAAGAGCTGATATCGTATCATTCATGTTAGAGGTCGGGAAGAGGGCGAAGCCGCCTCAGCTGTACGAATAAAAGGCTGTGTAGATTTCATCGTCAGTTTACTTTCTGTAATATTGTTAAGACGCATTTTGTTATCACACCAAGCCTTTTGAAGGTTTTCAGCTGGTGCATTGCGGTCATTTTGACACCAATTTAATGTAAATCGGATTAAGCGTTCTTCCCAATTATCAATTTCTCTAGGACAGGTTGGTCAAAAATGTCAACTTCCCCCACTGCTAGGTTTAATTCTCAATTAAAGGGCCAGATCCCATGAAAGTGCGTACATGTAATATGAATGGCAACAACAAGAAAACACGTTGTTGGATTAACTTCAACGTCAGTAAATACATGTATACGAACGATTGGAGTCATTACATTGTGTTGATGGAAGTAGACAGATTTGGTTATAAAGGGGAATGAAAGCTTCCATACTAGCAACATTGCTTAATTAAAGGGACCATGAGATACAACTATTTTACCACAAGCCTCAACACTGCACCTTTGTGTTTCAAGTAACCTTATTTTCAATTTCATTTTTGCTATGTTAATATTTTCTGGGAGCCTTTTTGGTTAATGCTAATACAAATTTGCATATTCATGTGATTGAATGAATATATAATCAACAGTGAATTCATCTAATAAAGGTACCAAACCTCGATGTGTGATTGACTTGTGCAAAAAAACTGCTAGAATTATTTGTCTGTTTTGCCGTATTCAATAAGTGAGCGATAAACCTTTTTCTTAGAAATGTTTTCAATATAATTATGGAGTTTACATTTGAACCTGGAAACAAAAACTGTGTCTTCCCTGATTTAAATCACAACACCATCGCTCTCACTTGTTCAGAAAACCTTCGATCATTTCTAATGTTTTGAAACGTGCACTTTTCAATTTACCCAACCTCCAAAAGATTTCATTTTTTCATACTTTGAAGAAGAGTAGGCCTACAAATATGCACAAAGAGTGGGTCAGGCTTTTAATATTTTAACAGCCTTGTTTTACACAGACGAGCGGGAAGTCAAGGCGATGACGGTATTAGTGTTGTGTTTCACGCACTGACCTCACGTACAGCTTGGCTATAGGCCCGGACCATTTTAAACACGGCTGTGCAACGCTTGCGTACAGCAGGCAAAGTATCAAAGGAGAAAACGTGAATATAACACTGGATTGCATAACACTTCCAGCCGTAGCATTGCAAGACATCGATACATAACAGTGATGCCATGCGCGCGAAGCTGCAATCAAATAAGGTCTAATCCTCGAGGAGGGAGTGCTTGAAGTCATATGTCATTAGTTTGTCTATCAGTTTACCTACATCTGTTAAGTTTTGTAACAAAATATATTTAAGGAGAAAATACGTTAAAATAATAATTATCAGGCCTTTTAATAGATTTAACGTATCGTTCGAAGTATTTTAAAATGTAGTAGCTTGATACAACAATTAGCACTAGAAGGCTGTTATTTTGCTTGGAACACTTGTAAGGTTATGACTCTCTTGCCAGTGTACACCCTTTGAATCGTAGAATTCTATTTTTAAATCAATTAAAACAATAAATGTAAATATTACATCATTTGAATGAATGCAAATTTAATTCATACCCTAAAGTGCTTGGAATATACATGTATGCCACCTTTTACTAAGTCTCACATGTACTGGTTCTTAGCTGTTCACAAATTCTTTTCCTTTCATGAACACCATTCGTTTTTCATTCGTCCCTTCAAGATGCATGTAATTCGTATAATATGGAATATCGATTCTTTAAATAACAATTAAGACACTTCTATTCACCGTCTAAAAACTAATTTGACATTAAGGTAACAATACCTTCCCAAAACCATTGAGGAAACATTGATATCAAGGATTAAACATGCATTCTGGATGCATGCTGTCTGTTGTTCCCAACAAGTAAAATATTAAATAGATGACCAAAGAAAATCATTTAGTAATTAAATTATGATAGGACATCTGCATCCTTCCGCGATTTCGTTTACTTTTAATATTATAAGTCAGAATATAACCTTTCATAAAGTATAATACTCAAGCTACTTTATCCTATGCAATCTCAGAAATGTGTATACTAAATTTTAAAGAAGTTACCTTATTAAAACAAGATTTCATTTTCCGTTGGGTTTCATGTTTCGTGAAATGAAAAAGTTGATATCCTAAACCGTATTATCAAAAATGTAGAAAAGTTATAAATATTATTGTAGTACCTTCATAAAGATATAAAATAAGGAATCCCGGACAGTAAAATTTCATAAATATCCCAGCTTGGGTCGGTATATTTTCCAAGTATAGATGCAGTTTCATATAGGTTTTCCCGGCCGAATTAGTTAAAACAGCGTCCAAATTCATGAAAGTGCATTTACATTCAGTTTCAGTTTCAGATTCAGTTTAGTAACAGTATCATTCAATTCCACGATGCACAAGCGTCAATCAATTTCGCCCTGGGTGACTGGGAGGTGGATTTTTACCCAAATTTTACTGTCATATCTGTCAATGGGCACTCATATTCGCAATGTTAGCTTTTCAAAGTATACATACCCTAAGTATTGGAGAAAAGATAGAGTTTCTGTATAATTATGATACGTGTACGGTTCCAGAGACATCTTGATCGCTGGCGATATTTGCCCTGGATCTTTATTATCCCCAACCTTTTCATTTAACGTATACTTGTATACTTTTGTTCTGTTAAATGCTTATGGGGATAATACCTTTTTTGAAGTAAAAAATTTCGGATTACATAAAACCAATTTTGTTCTTTCTTTTTCTAAATCTTAAAGCAGGAAAAATACAAATTACAAGATTATTGCTGAAAAGATTGAGTATGTGGTCATTGTTTTAACAATCATTTAACCAGATAAGAAGAATTTGTTCATTTCTTTTTCTCGTTTTAAGCAGAAATAAATACGTACATTGTAGACAAGAGGTTCTCCCATCAAGGTGATATTAGTGTACTGAGAGAGATTTTTTTCTGCGAGTGAAACCCCTCATCTTCATGATGGAATTTGAATAAGTTAGTCAAGCATAAAATATTTCAAATTTGTAAATTGTAAATTTACAAAATGTAAATAAATTGTAAATTAGACTTCGATGAAAAACATAGCACGGATGTCAGAAATGCTTGCCTTTTCACGAAATCGCATGCCTATTACGAGTACCACAGAGTGACCGTGCGAATTTGACTTCTGTTCTTGGGGTTTTCTAAACTGAATAGCGACTCAAACTTTACTGTTTAACAGGAATTTGCAATCGCGTGCTCATGGAGTTGAATGATTATTTTGGCCGATTGAATGTTGATCTGGATTGTCAATCTATTTTGTGCTAAACTGAATGAGTCTGACGTTAATTGGAGCGCCAATTTAAAAAGTTGGGCGGGAAAACCTATACCATTCTTAGATAGTTTCTAGATTTGTAAATGACGGTGATAGTTGTGATCAAATAAGTCAAAAACACACCAAAGTTGTCTTTAAATGTGCAACTACATCCCCCAAAAGAACGAAGCAATAACAGTGAACCACTTTCTAGAAATATGCACCATAGTTTTATGAATATTTGGTTATAAACGTAAACGGCAGTAGAGACTTGTGGATTCAAAATAACGGCCCCAATCACGCGTGTTCGAAGGATTACTCTGAAAATAAAACTAATTCGTTTCATTTCGGATGGCACGGCAGACGAAAATCTGATCGAATCTCTGTATTTTTATTTTCTTTTAAATGAAAAATAAAGAAAACTAGCTCGTCAAACAGAACGAGTAAACTGTGACGTACGAGCAACGCGTGTTACGCGGTCGAGAGTTTCCTCGAGAAAAATAGAGAACAATCCGTAACACGCATGGAACTGAGTTTGTGCACTGGAGGCGCTCGAAGTCGTCCCTGTTTAAATTGTCCGTGAGCTTGATAATATGATAATAGCTGGTTTTACTGTCTTGTTCGGTATGGCCAAAATTACCGTACCGTTTAACCTAAAGAACTACACCCATGGGCGTCAATGAGTTGTATGAATGAAAAATAGCAAATGCTATGAAGTTCAAGCAAAAGCAAAATCATTTACTGAGAAGTAAAAGCATTCCGAATAAGCAAATGCTGGAATTTGTAGGAATAAAATGTTTCTTTTACTATTCAGCAACTACTAGTATAAATAGTAGCAAATGCTTTATGCTTGAGGCCGACTACACAGCTGGGTAGTTTTGTACAATAAGGTTTCCGTTGCCTGCACGTACATGTACACACGCACATAGTACAATACGGTACTGTATCTTGAGACCTCAGCATGACAGATAAGCACGATGGCAGTAATTTTTGATGAAAAAAATTTCTCTGCTTCGAAAATGGCTGTAAAAGCAAATGCTACTTTTTATTCATGCGACCCATTTCAGTTCAGCATTTAGGAGTCTTTGTTTGTGTTTTAAGAAGAAGGATGACCTAAACTACTCAAAATTGCAAGATTTACTTCTGAAATCAAGGAGAGATTTGCAACGACTTTCTAGGAGCTACATTCCATTACTTTATTTTTCTGCAGTTGTCTTAAAAAATTCCCAGCATGGCCTGCAAATGAAAGGTTAAGACGCCGAGAATGTGCAAACGGACTGAGGTATCCAGTCGTTGTTAGTATAACATTGACACCCTTGCCGCTTTAATCCGGTTCGTACGTGTGAAGTCATTTCAGTTTAAACCACGCCCACTGCACACGTGCACTGCACATAGGGTTACACGCAATGATCGCCGTTTATGTGGAACCATGGAACCGGAAGTTAACGCGCAACTTCTGCCATCGTCCAATGGGAGCCTGCAAATCGTGGCGCGTCCGTCTTTGTGACAAATTCACTTACAAACCGGATAGACTGTACAATTATAATCTTCAGCATTACCGTCTGCCTGCTGAGGAGCAACAAATGCATCCCCTTAAACTTCATAAAGCCCATTAAAAGCGCGGAAAATGCTTGCAGTGTATTTGCGTAGCAATTGCGTAAAGATATTGCATAATTATTTATAGGAAACTCGAGTGAACAAGTGTACTAAAAATTGAAAACCTACAATGTAATCTAATGTTCTTATCTTTATCCCCAAAGTTTACCACTCCATTATTCAGTAATACCATCAGAAAGAATGCAAACCAGGCCCGTAGGCTGGGAACGAACCCCCCCCCGCTCGTCTCCGAGTTCTGCTTGTTGGTGGTCTTTTGTGTGTGTGTGTGTGTACTGAATATTTTAAATATACTGTAATGTTCTGCATACGAGCCACGGTTTATAGGTTGATTCTCAAGCTCAAAGTAACCATACATGCATATAATAATACATGCATATTAACGAATCAATCTCTAGTCATATGTACCGTCAGGAAGTTCCGGCAAATATCCACATTTCAGGTATTTCAAAGGGATTGGGTTTGAAATCAATGTATAAAGTCAATATTGAAAACTACATTGTACAAGTCTTACATGCAACCTTTGGTTCGAGACAGACATGCAACTTTTCAATGTTGTTTTCCAAAGCATATTGTGATAGCCCAGGCAACGGGCCTGCAGACTGAGGTAACTTTATCGCTCCATTCGTGCAAATTAACTTGAAGGGAACCGCGAAGCACTAGCATGATGTCACATGTGGAGGTTGCCTTTGGGAGCAGTGTCTTGAAGTGCAACACAATAGAGCACTTTGACAACAGGGTCACACTACAGATGGAGTTTTATTCAAAACCGACCTTGTTAACGCTCACTTACAAGACACAATGATCTTTTGTGCGATCAGTGGTGGAGCATGCTCACTTGCAAATGACCGTTATATTGAACGAACGAACAAACAAAAACACACAAGCAGCTAGCTAATGAAAGCGCATACTCTGTTCGCAAAATTTTTAACATGAAGGTGTACACAAACCTGGCATTTTAATTTAATACGCAGATGTGCGGTTCAAGAATGCTGCAAACTGTGATCTTCTCTGCAACTGTTTATATCGACGGAGGACAAACCACGCGACAACAAAGAGCAGGGACCACTCTGTGCAGAAACCTGGAGCATGTTTTAAAAGATATTACGCCAAGACGGCGCGTTCTGGCCAATAATTGATTGGTCTCGTTTGGTACCACAGACTGAGTGGCATTGTTGGGCGCTGTTCCGCTCCACCCTTAATTCTTTTTGCTGAAAGCTAGTTTTATATTAGGTTCTGCCTGACGATATGTAAATATATACCAATATTGCCTACTTCTAGTGGTGTGTGAAATGAATCATGCATCTAAACAGAATGGATAAATCACATAGGGAGGCTATAGTTTACCTACACCACGAGTTAAGCCAGTCTTTTCTTTCTAACACCTCTCCCAGAGATTCTGCTTAATTTAAGCGATAATTGTTACAGATAAATGTATACTTTTATTTGAGTACAAAATTCGTTGAAAATTCACTAGCTCTTTTCTAAAAATCTTTTCAGGAAATAATTGAACAAAGCTTCGTGGCGCTTGCGCTTGGGACAACAGCTATTTGTGCAAACTAATTTCTTTTGCTAGGTCACAAGCACATTTTTTTGCAAGCCAACCAGTTGTTTCTTTAACAATATCGCAGGCCAAGAGTGCAAACCACAAGATTCATTCACAAAGTATTGGAAACTCTTACTAAATGTTCAATGACGTTCAATGACGAAACAGTCCAAACTTCGTCTTTATGGTGTTCTTGTTCTTGTAAAAAAAAATGGCGGTCAAACATGAAATTGGAAATCGACGAATGTGTATAAAAGGTCAAGTTCAAATCTGACATTTTGAGTGCTGATTTGACGAAGCTTCCACTCAGAGCAATTTTTGCTCAGATAAAAAGAAAAGCTTCGAGTAGGCTACATTTAAAAAAACTTCAGAAGTGATTGCTTCTGTATCAACGAGGAAAAAATTGAAAGGACGTATTAATGACCTTTATCCACCCGTCGAGTTGTCAATGCACATTTATTCCTTTGGCGTGATGGATTTCAGCCTTACGTAACGAAAAGCCTCCTGCTTTCTACGAGACAGAGAGGCTGCATTCTTGCAAAGTAACGGAGCGGTGGAAAGCATAGCGTGACGTCCCGGTTTAGGAAAAGCTCTCTTTCGGAGTTCTAAAATGCTCCATGCCATTGTCTCAAATAAAATGAAATCAAGAAAATCTTTTCAGATTTATAAGCCCATACAACCCAAAGCTTTCTTTGTGGCTATGTAAGGAATGTTCTGTTTCATTGCCGAATACATGTTATTCATTCTGTACCGGTCTTGGCTCGGGTTATTTTGGATAAAGTCACAGCCGGGGGCGGAGGCGGGGGATTCCACTTCCATGAACACGGCCTTCCCATGGTTGATTTTGAAAAGAAGGAGAAAAACCCCAGTATGCATACAAAAACACTTCTTAGCTGCAAATATGTGAAGTTTCAACTCAATTTGACATACCGTTTTGTCAGTTACGCTCATTTGAAATTGAAGGCCACGCACGTGCCAGCCTGCTTGCAACAAGAAATGAAGACCAAGGAAAAGTGGGGAAATTTGGCAAACATGTATCAGTGAAAATACAGCACTGCGCGAGAGCTTTACGTTGGATTTTTAAAACCTTGCTGTCAAAATGATTGCAAAGTGTTACTAATAAACCCCTAAGGGCTTGCTGGTGAAAAATGCAATGCAGCGATATCGGGAAAAATATTGAAGGGATTTTAAGGTTAACATCATGTATTATTTGAACGAAAATCAATAGCGCTTTTGTTGCCACATTGCATGGCACGGGAGGCGTTTCAACGGAACTCAAGGCCGGGAAAATAACATTCACTGGTGGTACCAAAGTTTTGTCGATGGGGAGAGGGGTATTAGAAAGGAATTCCACTTCAAGATGGTTCATTATGCACAAGACCCTTCCCCAGTTGCAAGCATCACAGGGGACTGGGATTTACAGCTATATCATAACTATTGTAGTTTAAGATGTAGGTGTACTATAGGCCTATATTGTATCTTCGTTTTGCAGAAAGCAAAAAAAAAAAGAGAGAAAACAAAAACATCAAAAAAAAAAAAGAAAGGAAAAAGAAAACAACAACAACAACAAACAATACCAAACAGCAACTCCAAGGGGGCTTAAGCCCCCCCAGCCCTTTCTTCCGGTGCTGTGTCACTATTATTGGCCATATCCTATGAGAGTGATTTCGAAGGACATACAAGTCTTGTTGCCATTGATTTGGTCAGAAACGAACGAACGAAAGAATTCAATCAATTAATCAAGCAATCAACCAACCAACCGACCGATCGATCGATCGATCGATCGATCGATCGATCGATCGATCGATCGATCGATCAATCAATCAATCAATCAATCAATCAATCAATCAATCAATCATTTTCTTGATTCTTGGCTTTGTCCACACCTTTGCCCTGGGGTTCCATTGAAGTCCCTATCCCTATCTTTGTATGGTGTTCTAAAGCGGGTAGGCAAGCGTCGTGTGTGTGAGTTTGAACGTCGCGTTTGTGAGTTCAAACGCCGTGTTTGTGAACTGTAAACGTCGTGTGTGAATTGTAAACGTCGTGTGTGTTCGAAAGTCGTGTTTTGAGTTTGAACGTCGTGTTTGAGAGTAGTCAGGGCCAATTTCAAGCTGTTAAGCACAAAATTTGCTTAGCACGGTATTGTCTTGCTCAGGAAAAACAGGTTATCAGCCAAACATTTTATGATTTTTATGATAATTATATGACAACCAACCATCAGCTGAACAGCAGTCACAAGCAACATGCAACACATGAACATTTTGGTTGGTAATCCTGTTTTTATCAAGGGAAAAGAAATCATGCAAATGATCCATGAAATCGGCCCCGACCACTCACAAACACGACGTTCAAACTCACACATACGACGTTCAAACTCACACACGACGTTTGTCTGTCCACTTTAATACAGTTGTGTTCCGAGGTGAGGGACGATGCCAACGCTGGAGTCAAAGCCAGAAAGGACAGATGTCTTCAAGCTCTACAAAGGATGTAACATGTTGTCGGATATTTACTCTAACCATTTATTAATCATTAACCTCTGACAATTAATTTAAAGTACAGATGTCTTTTTATTCGCTCGTGAGCATTACTGCAATTAATTTTATAGAATTACTGTACATTCTTACAGATGACTGGATGCACGTTTACTTCAAGCCTGAGTAGCCATGACAACGGACACAAACCTTCTTACCTAGACGGTACACGAGGTAGGCATTAGTGTTATATTGTGAAATTGTACTTGCTTCAGCTCTTCCAGTGACACAAGCAAACAATATCTCTCAGATAATGTCAAATGTTGGATTAGCTTGGGGTATCTTATTTCTCTACAAGTGCCAAATCGGTCTTGGCTAACGAACATGCAAATGCACCGTGCTCCACTTGTTCACACTCTCCGTGAAATAATTCAGTTTATCAGCTTCCCAGTCAATGCCGTTTCCAAACCTCAGCCTCGTCACCAGCTGCCCAAAATGTTCATTGTACATGAAACTCGGTGAAAACCCTTCGCACTTTGACGAACTAATGAAACCGCTTACATGGGGTCTGAAACTAAGTTCCAAAATGATCGTAGGCAAAGATCTGTTATGTGTATCATACCCCTAATGTGGAACAGAAGCACCTTAAAAGCATATTATTCACTTGTGGCTTGATCCCTTAAACACGTCTTTGAAGTTTAGTTTACAGTTACTTACCACTTTTATTTAGACTGACATGAATTTAGTCTAAAGGTTTTATCCAGCCATAATCGATTTTTACCTCAAAGACAGCCCAGCATATAAACATGAATATGTTACATTAACGTGACAAGGCTTTTGCCAATAGAACGGTGGATTATAATTAACGACAACGTAAATTGGTGATTAACAAGCAACTCATACGCGGAGGGCATACGCCTACCAATTTTAATATTTAGTATGGGTGTTGCGGGAGCGCTTCCCCCCACAAAATGAAAAGTAATTAAAGAAAAATGAAAGAAATTAATGACTAAAAAGAGATGAAAGTGGATTACAATTACAAATAAGACCCGGTACATCGTAATCAGAAACAAGTCGATGAGGCTGTTTTACGTAATGGCCGAATAAAGTGGGGATGTGGATAAATGTTGAAAAAATCGATGTGGTGGTTTCCGAGTCTTTCAGAATGACTTGACATGTGAAATCAAAAGAAAAAACAATGGCAATTTACAGCGAAGTAACGCACCTGCGGTGGTCGTTTATCTTGTGCAGTGGGCGTGGTTTAAGCTGAAGCTGCACCACACTTACGAACCGGATACTGCACGTACTGTGTCGACTCTGCGGGCGCGCGAAGAAGTTCAACAGAGAGCCTCGGTTTCGATGCGGATATGCGCAGAAAGCGCTAATGTAAAATCCATATATGGTGATATTTTGTTCAACCAAACAGGATAACATTATGCCATGGTGCTATGTTCTATTGTCTGCGATCTATAGGCAAATCCAGTGACCACGGTAACCATAGGCCTATCACCGGTCGTTTTCAGTGGCCACCGCCAATGGGATTTCAACATTGCGTCAACGGGCCTGTTTGTTTCACAAGGATCTGGATCTCGACCAGCGATCCTAACGCTGGTTTGCACCAACCATAAGGCGGGATTTTCTGGAATAAGTGAACTGTCACTAACCGAGATTCAGATCCGGGTGAAAAACGGGCGCAACAGTTGCTTGGGACCACTGTTCTGCGAACGGGAGAGAGTCCCTCTCGTACAAAATCCAACGCCATGCTTACTGCCATGAAAGGGGCTCTCAGCATGTCCAATGAAACGTCACTTAGTTCGTCTATGGTCAACTTCGACATGACGTGAAATTAAATTGCATATAATGTCGAGTGATATAATAATCAGAAACAGTGTCAGGATATTGGGCGCATACAAAAGACATTCATGGACATTACCAATTAATTACGCTGGAGTACCCTCAAGCCCAAAGAATCCTCCTTTACTTCTACACGGTGCGTTTCCTCAAAATTTAGTGACATGTCAAGGTTGTGGGTGACGTGCGAAGATAGCTGATACGCCGCTGATACGTGTCTCGTCATGCACAAAACGATTCTGCTGTTGATTCATATGGGAACAACCTACCGAGCAAGGAATGCACAATGAAATTAATCAAGCTATGATTATTGTTACGTTTCTCACTAACAGTGTATAATCGTGTGACGTGAGCTTGTGTGTATTTTAATATTGCTGATGAACCAGTGGAGAAAAAAATGCTTCAAATTTACCGATGAAGGGTTGCAGGGGTGCATTGTTTCGCCGGAAGTAAAAAAAATGCTAGCAGAAACCAATGAAGAATGAGCAAAACTTTTAAAAGATGCCTTCATGACACAGCAATTAAAAGTATCCTTGGGGAATTTTTGTGGGCAGGGAAACGCAGGATAGCTTTATTCATTTTGGGTCACGATTAATGGGGTCAACATTGAATTAATGATGCTTTTGAAATGTTTACGTATTTATTGTTATTTTGAAATACTTCACGCGAACTAAAATGTTTTCAATTTGTTAATCTTTGAAATAACACTCCGTTCAAAGGAGAAGTGCTAACTTCGTGGTCGGAGGTTGTGCACATAGTAGCCGATCACAGTTTTAAGGTTGTGGGGACCACGGGATCAGCTAACAAATTTGCTCAGGGTAGGTAGGCCAAGTTACACTTGTGACCTATTATCTTTTTAAAACCTGATCAAACCTTATTCAAATTTACTGAACAGCGTAAAAGTGTTATTTTCGACAATGTTTTGATTTATTAGCCTCAGATCCTTTCAAATTTAAATTCACATGGTACAGTCACCTTTTGATTTTTTCAGGTGACATTCCAACGTCGTATCATTGTAATTGCCATTTGACATTTTGGGATTTATAATTTGTCGGCTTAAAAATAATTGGGAGTTTTATAATACATGTAATAATTATTAAATCTTCCTGTGCAGATCCCGATTGGCAACTGGTATTTAAAGGTGTTGCGGGAACTGGAGCCAAACTGTACGATATGTGGACCAGCGAGAGCTGGGACCCCAGCGTGGAGATCAGTGGGAGTTGTCGGGATAATGACCTTCACCGAGTTTGGCGCAACAAGCAGTTACATGTCAGACGGGTAGGTTCGGGGAATTAGTGCGCCCTCACCAGTGGCATGAGAAGGGATAAGCCGACCCCAGCATGTCATCACTAACGAGCGCCTTGCGCTCGCGCAAAGACCCAATTTGTTGCGTTACACACCCGTAGGGGATTGACAAACTATAACTCTCTTTGGTGATGAGTTAAAGCTCTAGGCTAAACGCCGCGCTACTCCCGTGCCGAACTTAATTAAATGAGCGTGGTTATTCGCCTCGAGCAGAAGCACCCCCCTTATCAGTAAGAAAAAAGCCATGTCGGGAGTGTTCATTTTGTTAGCAGCGATGCGACCACAACGCATGTATTTCTACGTTTTTCATGAACCAGTAAGGTTCAGTTCTGACTAAAGGATTCCCCTTGCTAAGAAAATAACGCCCTTTCTTTGCCCAGCTCGAGGCCCATAGTGCAGAAATAGGCGCGTTAGTTGCGATAGAGGCTGACCTCAATAGGGCAGCGTCTTGCCAGTGGTATTCGGAACAACGATAGCGCGACATAAACTCTCGAGTTACAGGGCTTGCCGTGAAGAATGCAATTTGCCTGAATTGGTACTGGCAGCACAAAGAATAGTCTATAGGCTGAGAAACTACAACGGAAATACTGACTTTTCTGTACCAGCAACACTGCCGAAACATTCTGCCAACTTGGAAACCATCATTGACACAAAAGAAACTTAAGCTTTAATAGATTCCTTTCAAGTCAGTTTATATTTTTCAATTATAATTTTGCCTTAAGACTAATGAGTGTTCATTACGTGAATGCACCATGCACACTCTCAGGGCAAAATTAAGGTGTTTTTAAGACCAAGTCAAGAATACACAGGAGACGATTTGAGGTTCCATGTTTGTATGAAGATGAAGGGAGATCACAAGAGAACAACAGCTTTTGTTGAAGAGCACTGACCAGAGTTGCTGACGCGAGTCTTGGACTCGAGTCGGACTCGAGTCGCTATTTTTGTGACCTGTGACTGGACTTGTAAATACCAGCTTTGACTTGACTTGGACTTGCAAAAAATGACTTGTGACTTGACTTGGACTTGCAAAAAATGACTTGTTACCAACCCAAGTCAGACGCTACTCGACCGGCCCCTTTATTTTTATAAGTTGCAACTTCATAAGTTGGCGCCTGGTTCTTTTTGCTGATTACAGTTGGACAAAATAATGTGCAGCTTGAATATAAGTCTCTTGGAGAAAGAGACTTGTGACTTGACTTGTATTTTGACCAAATGACTTATGACTAGACTTGACTTGGCCTGTGACCAAATGACTTGTGACTTGGACTTGCAAAAAAATGATTTGCAGCCACCTCTGGCACATAATTATCTCTTCATTTTCACTCAGGTCAAGCTTTCCTTGCATAACAGCACAGGAAAGACAGCTGAGCTGGTATTCAATGGGATTGGGTCAGATATCAGGAACTGGTTTAGACAGGACAGACTCATATCGTCCCCTTGGGAAGATCTCAGCTCTGCCAGTGCTTCACGCGCTACACGCTCTGGTCGGTACTTCAGCATGGAAGGTCACGTTGAAGAGTTAGTAAGCCTACAGGTGTAATGGTGGCTGTGGAGATTTGTGGAATCATCGGGGCTGTTGCGGGTTTCTTGTTGATTGCCGTGGTTTGTGATTTTGTCGTTGCCACTGTGTTCATGAAGTGATGATTATGGATGTCGTCTTCATGTATTGACTGATACCCATATCAGTTGATCTTATTTCAAACATTATGCCCCCCTTTTAGGCAGGCGTTCCAGAGTCAAAAAGACCGAGTTAAAAGCTAATTTTGAATTAAGAACGCAAAAAGGTTCGACGTCTGAAACAATCGAGCGACCAGGCGTATTAGCAGGCGAAAGATCGAACCTTGGCGGGGCTTGGAACGACACCAGTGCGACTTGGTTTCAGACGTCGTTCTCTTAATGGGCCGAACCCCATGCCAATGTATGTATTAAGTTGGTTTGTCTGTAAGCAAAATTCAGTTGGGTCGACCTGAGTCACTCTCAATTCTATTTGGCTCGGCGCGATTCTAGAACGCCTATCTGAACGGGTGTTAGAGTCTGCCTCCTTAAATCCTGTGGTCTGACCATTTTGACTGGGAAACAGTAAAAATATTATAAGAATGTATGCTGATGGAGACCAAATGATAATTTGTGACCTGCTGAGGCGGAAAGGGCAAACCCAAGTAATCGCAGCCTGAAGTGAAAACATATACACAAAACAATCGTGTCAAAGTCATTTCAAAAACATATTTGGATAGCTTATGTATCAAAGAATCATCTAAGTATATTATTTCTGTAAAGTTCAATCAAGATGAGAAAAGGGGGGAATTCCAAATTGCTTTTATTTTGTTAATTTTGATTTCTCTTCTTCTTACATATAAAAAGGGATCGGCGATTTTACATTAACGCCAACTACCAGGGTTGTTCAGATGATGTAGGCTGGCTGGTTGTGACAGAGTCACAAATAAAGGCATTCTGTTCTTGGGAGGATCCTACAACACAATATCCCTACCCGATCATACTCTACAGCAGAGGGAACAACGCAGTGACGTGGAATAATGTACTGTCCAATGGTGAGAACGAGGAAATAGAACAATGTGCAGATTCCTGAATACATCATTTACATGTCAGTCTAATGGATGTATCGCGTATAATGTTCCCATATCGACCTGTAACACGGGGGTGGTTGATCTTTTTACTCTTTTCCCAACAGATAGAACGGTTGGAAGAGCGGACAGCATGACAATCCACATCAATATCGACGACTAATTCGGGAACCTGTCCTTTTTATAGTCCGTACGGGGGGGGTCAACTGGGTGAAATTCTCCCCCACGGGAAGCGCCGGAAAACGCAAAGGTAGCAAAAGACGTAACTCCCCGTGGGTAACAAGCTTTGAAAGTTTTCGATGAAACACCAAAATGTTTTCTGATACATTTGAAAAGAGCATTTCAACAGCCATGCAAAATAGATGGTGCTATAGTAAAGCATTGGTGATGCACTGCAGATACGCGTGCGGTTTATTTAGTCTCATTGAAGAGCACTGTGCGATAGACGAGGCAAATCCAATAGTGTCACTGCTTATCAAAATCTCTACGGTGGGTTTGTATAAGAACACAAGTGTAAATGTAAATATCAGAGTGGCATGTAGTTAAAAAGTAGGTTTGTTGAAGTCAGCGAGGTTAGGTCAAAAAAAGCCTCCGGTTTCTGGTCACCGCGTGCATCGCCGTAGACCTGCGGCAAAATAAAGAATTTTTTTATTTTTTGCATAAAACGATTTCCAAAAGCCGCCAAACGTACTTGATCGGCAGGAATTCTGCTACCGCGTAATTTTAACGTGTTTTTGATGGGTGGGGTTGAGTACTATGTACGGTGAAGGAATCCCCATAGGCCTCCATACATTTCAATTGGGCACTCTAATCAGATGACGTCATTCGTGTCGAAATCAGTTGGCTGCAGTTTGATATTATGCGTGATTCTATGGATTGACATTGCGTTATGACAACCATACATGTATGTACGTTACTACTCATGCATTGTCACTTGCAAAGAACAAAGGTGGATTAAAGTGAGAGATTTTTATTTTTCTGAGATGAAATTTCCCCCAATATTTTATGTTCAGCTTGTTTCTCATAAGCTGAAACAGAAAACAATGTGCACAGTATATCATTTACCTCTTGGAAATTTTATTTTCATTTAGACTGTGGAGCTGAACTGTTTTCAATTATTTTTTTTCATAGGCTATTTGACGTGCAACTTAATTCTCCCAACTAAAGCAGAAAACAATGTGCAAAGAATGTCATATACAGCTACGTCATAAGAATTTCATTTAAAACCGGGAACTGAAGCTGAACATTTGCTTGTCACGATTTTTCAATTGTAGTTGTGCTACTGTATTTTAACAAGACTAGCTCAATCTTGCCAAGAATAGAAGCCTCCTGTTTGAGTGAGATTAATTAAACATATTTTATGGTTTTTTATTAATTCAAAGTTAATCCACACTTCTCACAGTAACAAGGCCATGCGCTCCAAAGCATACCGTATGTGCATTTACATCAGTTCTAAGGGGAAAAAAGGAGGAAAAAACCCGCGTCACCGCATCACTTTTGGACCAAGCCCATGACCAGAAACCGGAGTCTTTTTTGGCGTTATTACCGATTATCTATCGTGTTCAAGCTTTTTAATGTTTGATTTGGTCACAGATATCGAGTGTTTGTGAAAACACTGGTAGATTTCGTTCTTTTGAGGCAACAATAATGTTGTGGTATCTTTCATTTTCAAATGGGCGTGAACTTCAATTTAAGCACTCCCCTGCCCCAAAGATTTTGCTTTTGACAAATAACTATTTGTTTTTATTCTAAGAATCAAACATTGTGGAATATAGGCCTTCATCCTCAGGATAACATGAAATATTGAAAACGCTCAACCAATGATCGGCATCAGGGCTACACAAGTTAACAAGTTGCACATTAAACGTTGAATGTCTGGAATGGTGTTTGAACAACAGAAAAAAGACATTGTAATGAGATCTGCAGTCAGGAGTAGTATTTATCATAAAAGGGATTCCCACACTTCTGGAGCCTGAATTGAATTTCACCCAAAGTACTATTTTTTGAATGTAAATACTTTTCAATAAAAAAGGCAAACATACTCATTACTCAGTCTTGCCATTTGTAGTGGTTGAGTGTCATGTGAGTTTTTTTTTAGGTCTTTATCAACGACAAAAGTGCCTCATATCCCAATATAACTGTAGCTTATCAACCTCTCTCCCTTTTGCGTCCTATTTCATATGGGCAGCCAAACTCTTTAGAAATAATCACGCGTGATGGTGTCAGATATCATGTAAAAATACATTTGCTTAGTAACCTTAAAATAGGACCGTATTTTACATTTAGTAGTGGCATTAAATCATTTGGTGTTTTGGTATAGCTGCGTGATAATTTAGGGAATAGCTCTTTTTTTTGTACTGACGACCAGCCATAGTTTTACCAGTCAAATCAAGTTCGGGAATTAAATTAAGGTAGGAATATTTTATTTAGACTCGATATGTATGTGTTTTAAATAAAATGAGCAATATCAATTTAGAATGGAAAAATGTATATATAGAGCATGTGCATCTGAATTATTTGGCAACGATCGTTACAACTCGATTTTCAGCAAATTTGCTGAGACATATGGAAAGAATGAGGAATAAGGAAGCACCTACATGGTAGTTTACAGATCATGTACTTTAACAAAGTCTTCGGAAGGATGTTGAATTAACGTACAATATGTCAATCAGTGAAACGTTCTCATGGTTTTCACGGAAATGACAAGGGGCACAACGCAACCATTGCGCGGACAACAAGATGATCAGACAGAAGAGATTTGTACAGATAGAAGCTATGTCAGTATGCCAATTTAAAATAAAAGTGCCTTGGCTGATATTGCTATTAATATGCAAATAAAGACTGTGATAGTATGACACATGTCACGTCTTGTCATTAAAATTGCCTTGTCTCCTCATCTCTACACCAAAACTTCATCCCAACAAAGGGGACTATGCCTACTCTGTCATTATGATAGAGTAACTTATATTGACTGACAGTATACTGGCAACAAAATATAAGCCCTCACAATGTTGGGAGTAAGGTCTTAATAGTTAATGTGCTTTTTGTGAAATAAGATGAACTATTCCTAAAATACATGCACCGTTGAATGGAAGACAACAAACTCAAGGCAACATTGACGAGACTGCTTCTGAGTGGTTCTGAAGTATCACATGCTTTCTGATCAAAACCAAAGCCAACAAAATCAAAAACCAAGTCAACCGTTTTGCACGCAAATTTTAGGGAATTTGCATCAGACAATTTCATGGATAGCATCTAGCGTAGTGGTAATAATATTACGCCATTAGTCTGTGTATTAAGTTTTTGTTACGTACAAAACAAAGAAAACACGGAGACCAACAAGTAAAACCAAAGGTACCAAAATGAGCTGAACAAGCAGAAACAGCAAACCAACCCTGTGGACGCACGCGCACAAGCAACACACACAGACAGGTCGAACATAATCAAAACAAAACAATATTTTATTTTTGCCTTTATGGACGTGTTTTTTAATAGACCTGCAAATATATTCTTAACATTAATTGAGACATTTTACACGAACTCTAGCAAAAAAAGTAATACATTGACGTTAATAGGATATGACTATTGAAATTCAAGGATTTGACGATGGAATATTGTTCTCCAATATTTCTCTAGTTATATTCGGTAGAAATGTTGAAATCTGTAGGGTAATAACCACGGTTCAATGAACCACTTCAGCATCTCAACAGCACATGCTTAAAAATGAAGGGCGTCCGAGGTCATTCGAACGGGTGTGCGCAATCTGCCCTTTTAGCGCGGTCCTACGTGAACTCTCGCGCATGCATTGTTCCTAAATGAACTTACTTTTATATCAAAGTGCAGGACTCACTGTACTCCCACACATTAATCGTTTAGCCCTATTTGCTTGTCACCCATAGTCACGCGAGGAGATGTACATCGCCGAATTGTGTTGTAATCAGCAGTCCCCCCCACACACTCGCTCTCCTGCAACTCGCTTCATTTGCGTCCAATTTCGCGGTACATAAATCACGAGCTGTACTCGGTTTAATATACCTGAGAATTAATTAGGGTTCGCACGTTTGCATGTGACTGTTGGTGGTGCGCGGTGTTTCCTGTTGACATCAACTGGGTCGATATAATTACCATTGTTCACGTCGACCTTTTACCAGCCTTGCCTGCAGTAATTATTAGTGTTGATTTTTTAGTCTTGAAATAGACCATTTTTATCGAATTTGTTGGTACGCTATAAAATTTGCCAGCGTACAGCAGCCTGTTTATCCTGAGGTCGACTTTACCATTAAAAGCCTGGAAAATTTACACATACATGTACATAGCCCTCTATGCTGCATGGAAACAAATGACAGATTTTTAAAGGCCAAAAATTTGATTCATGGAGCCTTATTTGTTCATGGACGACTATGCTCGCGCGAAGTATGTATAGAGCAGTGGTTGGTCCCAGTCCACCCAGCGCACTCTATGTTACACTGAGAGACTGAAGATCTGTACAGGCAGCAATAGACCTTAATCCCGAGGAGTCCTTGTTTGGTGGTGTTCCCCAAATCTATCATAGGCCCCCTATTCAAAGTAATCTGGTAAATGGAGTGCCGTGCCAGACTGTGTTAGGTTCCACAGATTTTCTTTAATGTGGCTTTGAAAAAGTAGACAGTTCACAGCTAATTAAAAAGTAAAACTGGCATTAATTTGTAATAACGCTTATTTCGTTGCTGTTATTTCTACTGTCTGATTCCATAAAGGACAAGTTAACCTCACCTTCAATTCAAGATGGTCGACATACGAAGACAGTCGATTCGGAAGTACGGTTGAATCACTGCAGTTACATATCCTACTCCTAATGGAGGCGAAAAAAGGGGGAAGTAGTGAATCCTGGAAACAAAATGGTTTTCGAAAGCGTTGATGCTTACCCTTTATGGACCATTCTCAAAAGTCCTCTCCGAGTCTGAAACCACGATTAAGACAGCTTTTCGTTTGCGCGAAATAACAAAGACTCCTTCCAGTTGGCTTCATGTTACTCAGTTCGATGTTCTCACATCAACATACCGCTCATATCTGACAGGAATCTCCAAGGACAACAGTTTACGTGACAGGCGAAGCGGAACAGGAAAGGGATGCCGAGATTGGAAAAGGTAGCCGTGTATTCGTTCACAGCTATTTTGTCAGGGTTCAAAGAACATGGGTGCAGCAAATTAAAAACTCCATTAAAAATAGTGCAAAATCAGCTCTGTTCAGTACAGAGCCCCTATTAAAGGGGACAGGCACAATGAGAATTTTTTTGTATTTCGTTCCCTCGAATTATTATTTCGTTCTCTCAAAATTATTTCATTGCCTTGTATTATCATTCGTTCCTTCAAATTATTATTTTGCTCTATCGAAATATTATTTTGTTCCTCGAAATCATTTAGTTCCCTCGAAATATTGTTTTGTTCCCTCGAAAACATTTCATTCCCTCGAAATATGTTATTTCGTTCCCTCGAAATGTTGATTTCATTTCCTCGAAACATTTTTGTGTACTTAGCGCCATTGTCGTGCCCTCGTGGGACAGGAAAACGCTTCCAGATTGAAGTAACTTCAAGGTAAGTAGTGAAAACGCCAATCGAGAAGCATTTTCCTGTCCCACGAGTGTACGACAATGGCGCCAAGTCCAAAAAACCCTAATCCTGGGATCATAGCCTTCATTTCAAGGTTATCACAAGAACATTGACTCTGTAAAGGTATGTCTCCCTGCAGCGGTCCACATAAGAGTGCTTTACAGGAATCCACGGTCTGATAAAATGGCATACACATATTTTGAATACGTGTAATCAAGAACAGGTTCGCGTTCGGTGGCTTATTCAGTGTGAATTACCCATACTTCGCGTCATCGTATCGTATAGGCGCGGAGAACTAGCCTGTATGTCCGAGTGGCCACCTTCCGTTACGCGTTTCTTTCATAAGTGCATACATTGTTGATGTTGTATCCTTGCCAAAGAAATTATGCAAATGGAAAAGTGTGCAGTGTAATGCTTGTAACATACCTCCAAAATTGTTCACATGTTCAAGGTATCTATCTCAGAACATTTCTTCAGAAAATGAGTTTATTTTTTTCATTTTTCAGTAACAACAATACACCTGCTCAGTCAAGAGAGACACGACTGTTTGGCAGCTTGACTAATACATTGGCTATGGCACGCAATATTTGGGAAGGACAAAGACATATAAAAATCATTCATAAAATTCTGTTACAGCATCCTGAAGCGACGTTTCCTATCAGTAAAAAGACCCTCTCCCAGGAAGATGCTAGTTTTCCCATAAAAAATGGGAAAAATAGGAAGCGTAAGTAAGGGGAAAATTTCTCAGGGGCATACAGTGGAAGCACATGCACATTGTTCCAAGGGGGCCTTGAAAACAAATTAACTGTGAATTGTGCATTTATAGGCTGTGCGCCTTTCAACTAGGGTGGGGTGCCAGGAGAAACAATTAAACTTCGAGGGCGGGGGAGCTCTCCCATCAGCCCGTAGTGCTTGAGTACGTTAACTAGACACTTCGGCAAAAAGACGTACGTCAGGGCAGATCCAAGATTTGTTGGCGGGGGGGAGGGTAAGAAAATTTGTTCGTACTGGGAGAGCACTTTTTCGGCGTTAGTGAAGGTATTTAATTGCTTTGTTTTGTCCTTTACCCTACACAAAGAGACGGAGCCCCCCATGACAAGTTTAGGGTGGACCCCTTACTCCACTCCCAGGATCCGCGCTTGCAGGTTTTTAAAATTTGTTTGGTGAGTCCATGCAGGTAACTGCTATGGCGTAACCACTGGAACAGGTGAACGGGTAAGACTGCAGACACGCGTGAGCCTAAGGTTCCACGATGCGATTACCGCGCTTTAACATGCTTTATTGGGGGAATAAATATATGCATGGCTGGTCTTAAACGTGCGTTTTAGGATGGCTCAGGAGAATGGACGCGACTTATGCCCGAGCTGCAGGTGAGGGCATTATTAGAGTTCAGTCTCCAAGCACATATTTATTCCCACTTATATACGATTTTTTAATCAGAGAGTCAAAAGAAGTCAGTATATAATGGATTTCCAGCGATTTTGTTCTGGAATTTTACTTTCATTTTCCAGAACACCCCCATCTATTTTTATAGAATATTCCTTAAGCAAATTGTCCAATTTGCGCGTGCGTGGTGAGCCACGTACACACATACTCTTGACCAATCAGAATCGAGTAAACTGGCTTGAATGCAGGTACCAGCGTGATTTACGCAGCGGGCATTACCACTTCCCACCAGGCGTTATCAAAATATACACAGTCAAGTTGCACGTTGTAGATAAAGGAGACCGTCCGAGGTATTTGTGAATATGCATCAACATTTCCCATCAAACTGCCCTTGGTGCGTTGCATACACTATGCGTTTATGCATTTCACTTTCACCGACACAAAAATCGACACCATTGACATAGCACACGTGTGTGTTGCGTTCGACCGTCAAAATCCCCCCGAGAGCGATTCAGACGGATGCCCAAAGCTTGACGCAAGTGCTGACGTACATTGGAAAGGCGCCTTAATAGGTGACTGTGCATTGCCACAATAAAATGCATAGGGAACAATGAAGGAAATTGGCAATTCTCAAGCCGTCGCAATGATAGTTCACCTCTGTCATTTTGGCAAATAATACCATCGAACGAATGCAATAAATGCCTTTGATTTTCGCACATCAATCGAAACTGCCGTCAGAAATACAAACGCTAAACGTGTGCAGTGGTTGATGGTTTCGCTGGCACTGATATCGTTCGCCTTTAGACGATAATAACGTGTACTTCTCCAGCATCGCTATATACTTTACGTTGACTGTCACGATGGGACTGTCAACAATTAACAGAACGGGCGGCCCCTTGCTCCTTGTCTGTGCTTTTCTAGCGGGGTTCGCAGCTTGGATAGGGTCGGCCCTGACGCCTTGGTGCAGCGTCGTGGACACCGCCCTGGTGGGTTGGAATGTCTCCTCGATCCATACCAGGACGCATAAGCTGTGCCACGTTGCTTGCCTGGAATCAGCCAATTGCTCATCGGCCAACTACTGGTGGCAGAGCAAAGTCTGCGAGTTGAACATCTTGTCGCACCTGAGCGTGTCCGAAAGTCACATGGTCAAGGCGTCGGGGTCCATCTATACCTTCACTCAGGTCAGTTCAGTTTCTTCACTCGTGATTCGGTCTGTTCTTCCGCAAAGGCACAATCCTTTCCCCGTTTAACACGGGGTACCGCAAGATCCTTTTGGTTTGTATTTTCCCCTACAAATTTCAGCAAGAAATCATCCTCATTTCATCAGCATGCGTTCCGTTTTGTGCACATTTGCAATTTCTTTCGTACTGGGATCGCTTTTGACATTCATCGCACTCAGTTTCGGCTTTGTGCATGGGTGGGCATTTGAATCATTATATTTTGTTCATGGCCATTCGATACTTCTTTGTTTACTAATCAGTATTAAGTTTAAATCAAAATTCATACTGACGAATGTGCAATCATAAAACGATTCACTAAAGCAGATAGGAGTTTAATTATGTTTTGCATTCCGTTTTGCGTATAATCAGTCTTTTTCCAAAGTTAGAGAGTTCAGAGTTATATGAAATACTATGCTTTGGTGTACTATTAAGGCCACATTACGCAGCACGGTGAGTGTTCGTACACAGCGCGGGGAGTGTTGCGAATGTATATTGAAAAGCTGCTCAGATAAGAAAACAGAACGGCACTTTCTGAAGGTAAAAAGCTTATGTATAAAGAGGACCTTCAAAATGATTTTGGAGCCGGAGGGGGTGAAATTGGCTGGGAAAATCTAGACTGAATCCCTCAAAGGAAGAAAAAAGTGAACACCATAAAGGGTGGTAGTGTGAACATCAGGTTATCACAATTCCAACAATGATTAGTGCTGTTAGGGATAAGGTTTTGGTTGGCATTACAGGGAACATCGCACTACGTTATGTAACGCCAAACATGGCGGAGTTGTTCCTAATGATCAAAGGAAGCCATGCAATGAATTAAAATAATAAATAATAATTCGTGCACATCTTCAAACGCTCCTTGAATATTTGAGGATATCCGTTTCGGGGCTGAGTTTGTTGAAAAGCTTATTTATAAAAATAAAAAAACATTGTCAAACCTTTTTGGACACCAGAGGGTGCTGTTTAGCGTAATGTCAATCAGGAAATATGTTGTTTAGTTTCCTATGCTTTTCTGTTCAATGTGTAAACCCAATTTTTGCTAGTTAAAAAAATCGGGGGTTCTTGCCTTTCACCGTTTGCCTAACGAAGAAGTTGTGTACCATGCATCATTGATGTTCCCCCCAGGATGATAAAGCTTTTCTCAAGAATATGGAAATTGTCATTAGCATAAAACCTTCAAACGGCGCCCAAATTCATACAGCTAAACTCAAAGTACGGTTAACTGAAACATAGAGGTGCATTTTTCAAGGGATGTTTGGAGCAATTACGATTTTTAGACACTTTGAGAAATACAAGCAAAGGAAGAAAAAAATGTATGCATATAATTAGTATGAGCCTGGATTTATAAAAAGTTATATTCTCCGTTTTACAATGGCCATTAAAACTATGTTTTTATATTGGTCGCAAAAAGTGGGATAATTGGACATGGGTGTAATCTCTTATTGAAGCTGAAGTTCATTGTTGGTTAAATACATTCACAAATATTTATCTGAATGGAACAGGTGTATTGATTGCCAAATCAGCTTCACGCTTGAGACGCTACAACCCCGAAATTAATGGGGTGTTCTCAATTTCATATTTCATGCAAACGTTGTCATTCCTTCTATTACTGAACATAATTCTTTTATGCACTTGCCTTTTATTCCCAGATGACTGGATGCAACCTTGCTTCGGTCCTGAGTCGCCATGGCAACGATCACGAAGCTTTGCGTTTTGGCAGCACAAAAGGTAAGCTCTCGTGGTGCCCCGACAAAGTGGTCTTATTTCAAAATGCTCATTGTATATTCGTGTTGCATTTGCTCTGCCTACCGAAACAAACATTGGAGTTGCACCTGTTAGCTTAGAGCGATGTTTTCATCTTTACAAGGTAATAAACTCATGAAACTGAACTTTGGGCTGAAACCAGGGCTTGATAAACGGAAAACGTGTAAATATACAGTGTTACCTCAAGCCCACCAAAATAAGCAAGAAGTCATAGAAGGTTTAGAGAAACCAGGCCTTTTAAACCATATTACCAGTACATAAATAAATCAATTTTATAAAAGCTGCATATAGGAAGCGACAGTGTACGTCCATTTCCACGAGGATTATATCAGATAAAAGAGCTCAACTTGCTCTTCCGATGCAGACTGAAACAGACTATTAGGCATTCCCTTTTTATTTCTACCATTGGTATGTGTTTCTGGCCACGGAGGAGGGCCCGTTAGCGCAAACAAATTGGGAACAAAACTTCCTTTTGGATGCGCAAGGGCTTAAATAAAATGATGCAAAGTGTTCAGTGTCTGTTTTTTTGGGGGGGGAGGGTAGGTCTGTGGTGGCCCTGAAGAGACATAATGCGTTAGAATTTATTTTGCGAAGTGGCAAATTATTTATGACTAGTCTTGAATGTATTGGGACGACTTAATAATTTTGTGTCTTGCAAAATACTTCACGACGTCAGGTATAAATATGGACTCGTCAAAAAAATATTCAGTCGTAAAAGGCAAAAGGGTTCAACGGTATAATATCATGGGACAGCAGATATAAGTTGGACCATGCCATGCAACTAATTAAGGATTCTTCAAGTAATGTAATGTAATGTAATGATGCCACCTATTTCCCATTTGGTAAGTGTACTCTTCAAGTTACTGAAAAAATACCGTTGTGAATTTAACAACTGGTCATGAAAATATTCATCGTTTTGCAGACGTATTCACAAGACTAAGTCTTGGTAACAGTGAATAAATTCATTACATTGGATATCATCACATTTGGTAAAGTCCATTCTGGGCCACCGTTAAAAGTGAAGACTAAAGTGAACTAAACCTGGTACCCCTTTAGACTCCTGACATAGGATTTGGTCATGTATGAAAGGTCTATACTAAGTAAGTACCAATTATACGGGGCTAATCTGGCTTGCGTAACCACTTCTCCTTGTGACAAATGACGGCACACAACACAAATAGGCCCATCAGTCAGGAAATTATAATTATAAATCCTCAACCATACAAGCGATTATATATGGCAAAAGCCTTATTGGCCCTCACCTTCTGACAAAGATGATCAGCGAAATACATCATACATATTATATCATAGATATTTATATTACATTATATATTACATTATACATTTATATATATCGTCTTAATGGAGTCTAATCAAGAGGTTAAAACCTATTCATGCTGTGTTTCCTGCAAACTGCCATTCATTGTGAATAATATAAACTTTCAAACAATGCTATAGCTCCCTTTCCCCGCTCCTTACTCCACCCAGAGTTATCTATCCCTTTCTCATTTCTTTAGCCAGCTCCTACTTATGGTCAAATTATTATTGCTGATTTTTTGTTGAGTTGTTTGTTTATTTTTCCAAACACACAAAGGACTGTTTGCATTCCACTGGACATATTTCAAATTACAATTTGCATTGCATTTTCATGAGGAACGATACTCCCTGCAATATTAGGGCGGATTTGAATGTATTTTTGCGCTTTTGTTCCGAACAGAAAAGCGCGATATTGAACAAGTAGTAACAGATTGATCGTTTAGTAAACTAAAGCCTTTTCGTATTAAAATGCTATTCAGTTTTTGCACGACTATGATATATTGATGCTGTAGCAACATTGACGGCCTGGAAACCTATAAACCTAGATAATGTATTTAAAAAAACTATTTTGTATTTTTTTCAATACTAATATAGAGATGTTAATTTCCTTTCTGGTCACAGTGATGTAAAAATGGAAACGCGCCACGCCTGGCTTGTGGACAGAAAGAAGACTTCTGCTTGAATATAAATCATTGGCTCTTGACGGTCGAGTAGTGCAATAAAAGATTAGTTGCTTCAAACTTGCTCGATAAGCGACGACTTTGTCTTCCTTACATCTTTATATTTATTTTGACATCCTTCAGTTAAATTTATTAAAAAGCTCACATTTAAAAAAAAAACTCTTGAAAACTGCTGCTGTTATACCAACCAGGAAGACAGTTTCACTTTACAAGTTTTTGTATTAAAATGCTGAAACCAAAATCTGCTCACTGAAAGCCTATCTGAGAGAGGTTGCAAATATGTGGACGAGTTAAATTCTCGAGTTGTTTATGCAAAACTTGAAACCCATATTTATAGGTGGTACGTACGCATTATGAGTCACAACCCGTGCGTCGGAATGATACGCATAAGAAGCATACGAAATACAGTGCATAAAGGTCATAGCTAATTAGCATGCTCTCAAAACCAGCATGTAGGAAGGAAACTATGGTGTACTATTAACGACAAACAGACGACGCAACAGCACGACGGCTCCCTCGCCTTCTTGTCATTTCGTTTGTACACACACGACGCGTCGCGTGGTGCGTCGCGTCGTGCCGTCGCCCATCGCCCGTCGCGTCGCACTGTCTTAGGTCCTTTCCCTGTTGCATTTTTTCTGCCTAAACGTCGCCCCTTCCGTCGTCCGTCGCATCGTGCTGTCAGGTGTCCCGTCATACGTCGTGTCGTGCATCGCGTCGCCTGAAGCACGACGCGACGCTCAACACGACGCACGACGCGACGCGTTGTGTGCTGTCGCCCTTTACTTCATGGCGTTTATAGAGGGCGCCTTTACTCTTTTCTTTCATTTTCTTCCCCCGGCCCGTGCTTGCACAGTACATGCCACAGGTACCAGGCCTTGATTCTCTCTCTAATTCTGATTTTTCTAATAATTATTGTAAATCCATTCTAAGATACAATACATCAACTATTATTACATACTTGCAAAAAAAAACATGCGGATCTGATGAGAAATTAAGCGCGAGGCCAAACAGAGAGAAAGAAAAGACCCCGTCACAGTGGTAGTAGGATCTACATTGTTTAAGAAACAAGGACTAATATCATTGAAAGTGTGGTGCTGATGAAGTTAACGAGGAAGACTATACTGAAGGAAGACTGAATATTCTGAGGGTAATAATATAGAGCAGGCTGGGTAGTAACTACCTAAATCCACGGTCAAACCTGCGGTAGTACAATTGTAGACAAAATTTCTGGAGGAGTGGGAGAACTACTTGGAAACTGCTGGCACGGACCACAGAGAAATATTTATAAGGTTATAAATCTACCACAAATGGGAACTTCATCAACGGTCTTAAAAACAATTGGACGGACATTCGAACAAGGATCAGCCGGGTGAATTAAAAAGTGACAAATTCTGGGTTTACACTTATTATGTGAGAGCACTTACATACGCAGATTTTTTTCTTGCTCGTTTTCATTTTTTTTCGATAAAATGTGACAAAAACTAAATCTTTTGATGAATGGATGAACCCCCCCCCCCCAAAAGAAATCATTGGCTAGGAAATTAAGGAGTGACGAATTCTGAGCTGCTGGTTTCCACTTATTTTGAGAGAGTAGTTCCTACATATTCGGATTTTCATTTGCTCTTTTATCATTTTTTTCAATAAAATATGACAGAAATTAATCCGAATAAATGAATCGCTGAGATAAAAACAATGAAAAATCAGCACCAAAGAGCGAATAGCATATACTTTGCAAGAAAGGTGGACGAAAATGAAAGAAAAAGTAAAGGCGCCCTCTACAAATTTAAACGCCATGAAGTAAAGGGCGACAGCACACGTCGCGTCGTGCGTCGCGTCGTGCGTCGCGTCGTGCTTCAGGCGTGACGCACGACGCGACAGGCGATGGAAGGGGTGACGTTTAGGCAGAAAAAATGCAACAATGAAAGAACCGAAGACAGCACGACGCGACAGGCGACGGCACGACGCGACGCACGACGCGACGCGTCGTGTGTGTACAACTGATCGAATGGCAAGAAGGCGACGGTTCGACCCGACGGCATGACGCAAGGGAGCCGTCGTGCCAGCGCGTCGTCTGGTTGCGTCGCCTGGAGAAAGGCTAAATGGAGAGAGAAATGTTTGTCGTAAATAGTACACCATAGAAGGCGCTGCATCAAGCGTACTTACTGCGCTTTCCCGATGGTCGCGTGCACCATCACATGAAACAATTATTAACGTCTAAAGCCCTTCATCCATACGTCTTTGCTGAAGCACTTTAGGGTCTCGTCACGCCCAAATACACTTGCTGTTGATTCACAGGAGAGTCAACCCCTAATGGGAATAAATGAAAAATTCCTAAAGCAACGTTAATTTCTCCCTTATAAACCATGCATGATTGTGTAATTGCTGTCAATGATACTGGTAACAGTGCATGGTCGTGTTCAGCCTAATTTGTAAATTCAAGGTATTGCACCTTGGATGCTTTTCAGATTAATGAACTGTTGGACCGTAGAACTAACCTTTCTGTTCATTTTAAATTTTGAATCTTTTCCACTAATCATTATTCAACATTCGGACTTTTGCACCTTCGAAGAAATGATCTTTCTCAATACTTTGGGTCAACAATCTTTTAAAGGTGTTCTGCGTTGGAAATAAAAGGTAATATTTATTGTGGCTGTTGATGCACTGGATTTAAATATGATAATTAAAATTGCTTATTGGCTAGTGTTTCGAAGATGCTTGTTTTGCATTTTATATTCATGAATAAACCTCGGCATTTTCACGTGTTTGTGGTTGTTTCACTCGGTATTATGTCACCTCACATTTGCTACGCATCAGTTTATAGTTGACTCCTCATTATCGTGTCTACCCTCTACTTCTCAGCGTGTTTCTTTTAGTCATTAGCTTCTAACAGCCGGTCTTAAACTATCCCACAGCCGCGGGGGATGATTCCGCCCCCAAGAACTCAGCTGTCCTTGATTTTATTTTTTAAAGACTTGACAAATATTTTTAAAGGTTGTCTGTCTGTATAGATAGGAAACTTCAACTCAATCTGACGTATTGTGTAGTTGCAATCACTTGAATTTCAAGGCGTCAACCGCGTCAATGGAAAATGTATATATGCATTGTACATGCATACATTTTTGGCGCAGCTGCCTAGGAAAAAATGGGACCCAACTCTCGTCCTGATCTCAGATGTTGCAGCCACAATATAGGTGATTTGTTGCATACTATGCTGTTGTGATGCAAAAGTCACTTCATCACAAATGTAGCTGAAGTTATCTGCCTTGTTCACGCTATTCGATGCATCTCTGTTCACTTTGGCAAGATCAACATTCACCGATTCTTAAGAAAGTATGACACAATCATTTTCAAAGCTAATATTGAAACATTTGTTTGGGAAAGCTTGATGTGGTAAGATGAGCTATGATTGCATCATCTAAAATAATGGAAATGACAAGATGTAATCCATGTCACGTATATGTGGCAATACCAGACACAGAGAGCATCATTCATTATTTGGTTGTACTCTCCAAAGCCAGCCCTACATTTACATTTGCTAACCTTGTACATGTACCATTTTCACATAAACCTCGGCTGTTATGATCAAACTGGAGACTACTGAACAGAAGTGAGCACATCTCAAAATTCCAGGACCCGAAATTAACAGGCCGCAATTACTGTCATGTTTGAGAGCTCAGTTTCCCCAAGTACGAGTCCCGCTGCAGATGCATTTCTTGCATTAAAGTGATTAAAAATTCAACTTAACTAAAGGCTCAGTCTTTGCCGGTTTCAACTTGGCGGTCGTTTAAGACCGGCAATTGTTGAATTAGTGTACGCTAAAACTGACGTTGTGTAATGACGCAGTTATGTGCCATGCAATACTGACAGGTTTTTTATTTTTTTCATAAACTTAACAGAAGAAATCTCTTTCTTTCACAGACTCTGAATGGCGGCTGGTGTTTAAAGGCGTAGCAGGAACTGGAGCAAAACTGTACGATATGTGGACCAGCGAGAGCTGGGACCCCAGCGTGGAGATCAGTGGGAGTTGCCGGGATAATGACCTCCACCGAGCATGGCGCAACGGGCAGCTACATGTCAGACAGGTAATGGGTTCTTGTATAATACAAGAACCTGCCTTTACCATGGAACTTGCCCCTGCTGCCTTGCGGCCGGCGCCTATAAGCAAAACTCCCTATGCTATGTTAGCCCAATTTGTGGACTGACTGACTGACCGACCTGACCTGACCTGAATTGACCTGACCCGACTGACTGAATGAACGACCAACCGACCGACCTAACCAACTTACCTGTCTGACTCACTAAAATACTGTATGCGTTTAATTGAAAACACATTTCCAAACGAAAAACAAAGCTCTAGATTTTAAAACAAAAAATTGCATAAACAAAGGACATCGATAAAATGGAAAAGGTAAATTAAAAACGAAGAACAGAAAAATGAGCAGAGCTCTAAATCCTGCCTTGCGCAACAGCTTTTGGGAGACAAAAAGTTGAAACCTCAACAATCAAAAACAACAACTCAAGGAAACATCACTGGACAAAACTAATCCATCAAAGGACAGATCCAAATGATCGAAGGACAAAAATAAACAGCTATACGTAGGAGTGAACGTTGAGGGCGGCAATTATTGACGCTATGACAGCGCGCGTTCCAAGCCAGCCTGTCAAAGAAGTCATAGCTTGTTATTTTTGGCGAGTTTAGTTATCGATAGAAAGACAATTTCATCATGATAACTGAGGAGACCGCAAACAGTTTACTCAACGCTCTTGACAGAGTGATGGATGCATTACCGCCATGAGACATCAGCGACGGTGGGCCTTGGCCTGTACCGGTAGGACTACCAGAAGGCCTAACGTTAGTTTAAGTGCTAGAAGGCGTGAACCCAGTTCCGTTAAGCCAAACGCCACTACCATTTACATCAGCATTATTGGCAGCACTAGCGCTAGCAGAGGCACAACCGTAAGAACGATACCTAATCTAGGTTATGCGAGTGTCAGTGCAACTAGTATTAGTCGAAGCCAGACTCATTAGAGGGATGATTCATAAATGAGAGAACTTCACTTAGGCTAAGATATATTAAGAGGTGACACAAAATGTGACGAAAAACATCATACGTGCACGAAAGATTCTAACAAGCTTAAGACCTCATTGCTTTGTTCCTTTAATTCAATAGGTCAAGCTTTCCTTGCATAACAGCACAGGGGTGGCTGTCAAGCTGGTGTTCAACGGGACTGGGTCGGACATCAAGAACTGGTTTAACAAGCCTCACTTGATAGAGTCTCCCTGGGCAGATCTCACGACGGCGCTGTTTGAGGGTGGTTATGGTCAAATCTTTAGCCTTGAGGGTGGAACTGGACTGTAAGCATTTAGTTTTGTTGTTAATTGTTGCTTAGTGTTTGTTGTGTGGTGATTTTGATTTAGTTACCCGTCGCGGTCGCGGTAATTGGGGCTGGTATCGCGAGAGTGGTGGTTGCTGGAGGTATAGCATTTCTCTCACCTAAATACTACGAGTGATGATTACTTGTTTTCCCCCACTGGCTCGTAAAGGGAACGGCGGTTCCACATCAACATCTACTACCAAATATGTGAATCTGACGCAGGATGGCTGGTTGTGACCGATTCACAGTCTCAAGCTGGGCCATGTGAATGGGAGAAACCTTCGCCAGCGCATCCTAACCCTAAGATACTCTACAGCACAACCAGCAGCACGGTGAAGTGGCATAATCTGCTTTCGGATGGTACGAACAGATGTTTTTGAATAATGTGCGATATCCACTTCTTATCGTTTTATATGACTTTTTTAAAAGCTTCAATGTAATGCTTTCCTAATTGACCTTTGCACTTTCCTCAACAGATGGAACGGTTGGACGGGCGGACAGCATGACCATTCACATCGATATCGAGTGAATGTAATCTGGTATACGAAAAGGCCAATCCTACTTTTTCCCTCGAATCACCTTCGTGACCAGAAATCAGCAAGAATGAAAAGGAACACCAATGAACTGTAACTGCAACACTGAGACCTTTAACGTGTCAACGTTAAACATCCACTCTGCACTCTGCAAAATGTTTATTTCCTTTGTTCGTTCTTGTCCGTTAAAAAATACTCCCCACTTTAAAAAGCTCCACATTACAATTTTATGGATGGGCTAAAAAGCCCATTGATTTTCATTTTGACGTTAGAGACACAGAGAGGGTGGCAGACAAAGTTCAAACTGTTATTCAGTTTCGCTTCCCAGTCGAGTGATTGTTTACTTATACCTCTGACTTGAATTAATTGCACGATTCTCCTCACCTGAAATGCAAGTGGCTTGGTTTAATATGTTGTCCGTACGTCTTGCTCGAAAACAATATTTTTATGTCGTAAAATTCACGTTAGTGGAAATGTTGTCATTAAGTAATCTACACAAAGAAAAGTAACGACAAATTACAGCGATATCGTATACCAGTTTGCTGTTCCCTCTATCGTCACTGTACTATCATTGGCTGTATATAGTTTCAGCGCTTGTACCAATGAATACGAGTTGTCTGATTTATGAACCAGCCGGACAAAGAGAAGAACCAATATTATTTTCCTAGTAACGGTGGCTCGTTTGGTGGGAACTGCACTTCGCTGGTTCACAAACGACTATGAAATGCAAGCGTTGTGGTCGCGCTGCGACCAACAAAATCACCAGGCATATCCCACGGCTCTTTTCAACGGATGAGTGGGTGCTTCTGCTCAACGCGGAGAGCGGTCCCCACACTGCAGTTTAGCCTAGTCCAGGATATCATGATGTGATACGTACAAGGATGAGGATAATATGCGTTTTATTGCCCAGTCTCGTAATTGTTCTTTTGCAAGGAAAATACAGTATTCTATAGACAGACCAACTTTAACAATTTTGGAAACGTTTCCTAGTACGCCCACTGCAACATGTTTTCATGGTAGGAGTGCCGGCAGTAGCGAAAGACAGAAGTCCAATGGTCATCATAATTTGCAGAGCTGCGTGGTAAGTGTAAATATGCATATTGCATTATAATAGACTAGGTTCTTTACAGATTAACAAAGGTATAATTAATCATTCAAATTTAATACTTCTTTATTACATAATGATTGTGGAAACGTTGGTAGCTTTATTACAAGACAATAACGTGGTATATTTTATTATTTCTGCTTGAAGTGCTTGAAAACATCTATTTATTTTGACTTTGTCTTTACAAAGAATTACCTCTATACAAGGCGTTTACGTAACCGACCTTTTTTGAAGTCTTAGCCGGTCTACACCGCAAAGGTTGGTCCTGGTATCAGTACCAAAAAAGCTGTCCTTTTTACAGCCATTTAAATTGCTCAGTGGGTGTTTTCTAGCCCCTACAACTATTAAAAACCGCAGAGAGGTGTCAGAGTAAAGCCAGTGTACTTTTATTTCCAGCCCTGCTGAAGAGTTAGGTACACCGTTTTAGATGTTCAACGGTGTCCTTTTAGAATTTATCGATTTGCCACTTTAGTAGTTCCTGTCTCTCATGTTCGGCGGTGGTTGCATTTACAGCTGTCATTTCAGTTATATTCTTTGATGTGTCTTGTTCATTTTTATACGTACCCCCTTCCATTTTATTCCTATTTGCCTTTTTATGGTTATAGCCTATGTAAATTGTTGTGAATAAGTTTTGTTTTGTATTTGCATTTAGCCTTTTTACTGTCAGGTTTACGTCGTAAGTTTTAACTCTTCCTCTGTTACTGAAGAAACATTCTTAAAACTGAAAAAAATGACAATTACTGTTGCTGCATAGCCGTTGCTGGACAATGGATCGAATTCATCTCCCGGCTCTAAGCATCCGTAAGTCCTTTTTGTTTTATTGTACAGGGGATAGCAATGAAGGAGGGCCGTGGTTTGAAGTTGGAGATACGACACAAAAAGTGAGGAATGTTTGCTTTGAATAGGCTTGGACGCCTATTCCAATCAAAGAATCTCCACGTTTTTGTCATTTCTACTTACAAGAGTTTTGCATGTAGCCGGTGAATACTTGTCAAGTCAAATAGGAAATGAAAGTTTGGGGCAATCTCTTTCAAAATCGTTTTTGTGTTCATTCGTCGGACACAGACAATGGCCCTTCAGTTCTTTTTATTCTACTGATCAATCAAAATATCAATCAAATATATGTCCTTTTTAAGGCTAACAAAGTTTGAAAAAATGCTGTTTTCATTAATTTTGTTGGAAAAATTTTTGTTTAGACTGTACCTCCGTCTGTGAGTGGTGAGAAGGCGCCCAAGAAAAATGCTGAAGAACATAAGAATTGTTGTCGCCTTTTTTGTTTGAATTCAAAACGTAATGCATTGATTGGTGTACAAACAAAACAAACTGAAATTTGGATATTTTGCCCCGTTTTTGTTTGCGATTTCTTGCTATGTACATGTAAGTGTACAGTATACATGAAAGTGAATAGTAATGCGTCAACGAACAAACATTTCACAGAGATGGTTTCAAGTGCTAAAGTTTGGGTTTATTAATTTGAACGGAAAATAGACATAAATTGAACAGCGTTTTTTCTGATAAAAAATTAAAAAAACGTGGCAATAGCTTCGACAATTTCCAATCACAAAAGTGGACTTTTCATAAGACTGCAAATACAAGTATGGAATAATAGTGTTCATAGTTACATTGAAGAAACGTGTGAAGGTGCATAAAAAGTACATTGAAGAAAAATTCACAGAATCAACTCTATAACTGAATTCAACTGTGCGCCAGTTACTTTAAAGTGTAGCTGCAATGAATTTTTAATGTACACAATTTTTCTGTATCTTTGTACTCTTTTTCTTTGTGTTAGAACTCTTTTACACTCTTTTTACACAATTATAACTATCCATGGAACTGAGGGCGTTGTTGATGTGACTCATCTAGGGAAGACATGGTTCAGTGCATAGGTGTTTCTGTTCACTGAAAACATTTCTGAGCGAGGGCTGACATTTTCTTGTTGCTATGTACATGGAAACAATGAATCAGCGAAGAAGAGAAAACTGAGTCCAGGAAAATCTTCAAAAGAGCAGGATTTTTGTGTACAAACCAATGTAACATTGAGGCTTCTTCCTGAGATGACATCATAATTTTGCTCATGAAAATGAAAATCTCATTACCATAAAAGCCAAAAAGGTGTAAAAAATACCCTTTGAAACTGAAACAGAAGTTGACAATAAGGTTAACCGAGGCAAAAAGGTGCATTTTAGGGGTTTGTAATCACAATCTATTGTCAAGAAGACTTGACACCAATCTGCCATCGATGGTTAAATAACAACAGACCCTCTGAGCAGCCACGCCTACAATCTAACGCCAATACTCCATGTGGTGATTTTGTCTCCAGGTCAGTTCCCGGTCATTCCTGAACCTGAATGACTGTTTTATGGTAGCTAATACATCCACCAAGTCGCCTCTCTAAGTTTCATTATCTGGTGCAGAAGTACAGTAACACCAGTCACAACCCAAACAGCCATGACCTGTCAGCACATGTCTGCCAAGTTGGCCCATTGGAAAAGAAAATCATGACCGTATTTGGTGATATGTGGATACTTTTATCGCCTTGCGTTTGCTATCAGGGATATGTTAGTGTGACGCCGCGCCCCTCCGACGAAGGCAAGGGCGCCCTCCTCCTCGAGGCACGGCGCGTCCGGACAGCACACCGGGGAGTCCCTGAGCGGCTAGGGACGAGTCCGTTTGGGACCGAAGTATACGTCCCCCAAGAAAGATGGTCTTCGTCGAGATGATGGCTAATTTGATTGGTCGAAACTTAATGACGTTATCTGGACACCTGACCTATATACAACAATTAATAAGCGGCTGGTTTATTCATCAACACACAAAACCAATACACCAGTAGAGGGCGCTATTGACGGGGAGACTGTGATTATGCATGACCGGACTTCGCCCAGAGCAGCGAATACCACAACTAATTGTGGGCGTCCAGTGCTCCATCAGGGACTTTAGCAAGTCTACGGGGCTTATTGTCAGGGCTGCGCTACACGCAACTCACGTCACGAGATAGCAATCCGCCCTTGCATCAACCGCAGGGTCCTATCACGAACTATAACGCACCACCAATTAGCCCCTTAACCTACTGAGCCCCCCAACGACACACGCACCACTCTGGACTTAGGCAAAGTCACACTAGGATAGGTGACTTTAACCCATGCACAGGATTCTCGACCCTTACCTCTGGATCAGCCCTTGATCAGGACAACCAGGCTTAACCTAGCCTGCGCGCGCGTTTTATAACCTTCGCGCTGCTGTGACCACGCCCGCGCACGCGCTCACGTGACCAAACAGTGACTTCTGCTGCTCTATCGCACAACGCACAAGGCGGAGCCTATGCGCCGCGCTCGCTTAACACAAAGTTATGCGTGCCTAACGTCTGCCTCTGTTACTGGGCAGAGCACCATCTATAACTTTGCACCGCACCTAGTGACTAGCGCCCTCTGTCACGTCACATTAGGATTGTTTGCACTTTTTGATCAAGATCATGGATTGTCCAGAAGAAAGCAGGGCCCAGACGACACTTACGTCAACCATGTGGCTCAATTCTCGGGAGAGTTCAACCCTATAAGAATTGTCGCAATGGTAACTACTTCACTGATGGCGAGCTCTGAAATCGACCAAATCGAAAGTCTTTTAATGAAAATATTATCAAACCCAAAACAAAAATTACCAACAGGCCTTACTTCCAAGCATTCGAACAGACCAAGAGTACACTGCCTCTAAGAATACAGGCTCAACGGACACACAACATTGCAAAAATGCATAGGCCTACAATAATATGAGCCCATACATTTCAAGGCCCATCTAGATTGAGACATAACGCTCACAGTGGGTATTAAGCCATTTGCGAGTTAAATTTGATTAATTTTAAAATCGGGTACAATGAGTCATGAGATTGCACATAAACGTAGCGATTTGAATTCCCTGACTGAATATACTGTTGCTGTACCTTGTGATTCAGGGCAGGCGTTGGCCTAGCGACCACCATCTCTGGAATGGACTGGTTCTTTGCCATTCTTTTTTATTGACAACAGTGTATTGTTCCAAGGCGTCTCTTATGTAACTTGGCAAAAGCTTGCCTCGGATCACGAGGCATGGCAACAGTGTTTTTACTGGGTGCGTTCGATTAGCTTCCCTGAACACACCAGTGTTACACTCAAGGGAAGCCTCAAATGAGGCTTATCGAA